ACTGTGGCCCTCCTTCAGGATCACCTGGTTCTGCTCCTCTGACTGTGGCCCTCCTTCAGGATCACCTGGTTCTGCTCCTCTGACTGTGGCCCTCCGTGTCTCCTGCAGACCCCGGGCTGTTGTGCTGGGGAATGCAGCACGTCCTGTTGGCCGGCAGGGCTGCAGGCGGATGGACAGCTCTTTAAACGAGGAAGCACCTGGGGGTCAGTGGTGGGCCCCGTTATAGACTTATGCCCTCATGTCCTGTCCCCACCACCCCTGTGGGTCTGTGCCCTGTGGTGAGCACTTTGTGGTCTCACTGTCCTGGCTGGCTGTGGGCCTCCGGGTCCCCCGCTGTGGGGTGACTGCAGTCCTGGTCCTGGTTTCTGGTGTTTGCTGCAGTGTGCCTGCTCCCCTGCACCCGCCGCCCGCCCGCCCCCGTCCTCCACCCCGTCCCCCTCTCTCCGGGTGGSCCACTCCTGCTGGCCGGGTGCTGTCTGGCACTGGGGGGTGTTGGGGAGTCCGACCCTGTGTGCCCCTGGCTGGTCCTTGGACAGCTGAGCCCTCTCCCTGGGTGAGGCCGAGTCATCTCTGTGCAGATGCCGGGGAGGATGGCCAGACCTGGGATGGAGGAGGAAGAAAGAGGCCGTTTGTGAGCGCCTGGGGGAGGCTGGCTCCTCGGACCCCTGGGGTTTTACTGGGAGAGGACCTGAGGGTGGCTTTGTCTCTCCAAAGACGGGCTCGGCCCCCTGGAGTCTCACCCCCTCCCAGAGTGGAGAGGAGGGGGAGGGGAGGGGGAGGGGGAGGGGGAGGGCGGGCCTTTTCCTCACTGCTGCAGCTGGACCCTCCCTCCGCCCTGCAGCTCCGCCTCAGCTCTGCCCCCTGGTGGGGAGACACGGAGACCCGAGGAGAGGCCCGAGGAGAGGCCACGGTGCGGTCACACACCACTCCACCCCCCTGCAGGGGCATCCGGTGTCTCTGTGTCATGAATCTGTAGATCGTGTGCTCCACCATTGGAAAAAAGGTAAAAAAAAATCCGCTTAAAGAAGGAAGAGGAGGAGGAGAGAGAGTGGAGTCGATTCAGGAGGCAGTTTAGGGTTTCTTCATCTAAAGGAGGAGGAACAGGTGGAAGAGGAGGACAGGGGAGGAGAGAGGAGGCCGGGGAAGGGGAGGAGGGAGGAGGCCGGGGAAGGGGAGGAGGGAGGAGGGAGGAGGGAGGAGCAGGAGGTGGGCCTGGTTTTCTGTAGGCACTTCACAAATCCTTGGTTTAAAAGGAGACTCTCTTTCCCCAAACTGCAGGGAGCTACAGGAGGCAAGAGAAGAAGCCGCCCTTTACAGGGACACATCTGGACACTGGTTTCTGCTCTGAGGATCCCAGGGAGGTGACTTTGTCCCTTTCTTCCGCTTTATTTAATAAAGAATGAACTGACCACGCATCATGTATGATGGCTGTACCATTTTTTGCAATAAATACGTGAACACAGACTCACACACACCCCCGTTTCAGTCAGGAGACTGATATGGGATGGATTATATCCTCCGAAAAAATTAGTATGTCRACATCCCAATTCCCAGGACCTCCGGGTGTGACCGTCTGTGGAGGTAGTGTCCTTAAAGACATGGTGGGTTACAGTGGGGTGCTCAGGTTGTGCACTGACCCAGTGGGACTGATGCCTTTGTGGGAAGGAGTGTGGACGCAGAGCCGGTGTGTGCTCGGGCTGTTCTGTGGGCTGTTACTGGGCGTTGGCCCACCTCGCAGAGGCCCCTGGAGGTTTCTGGGACGCTGGCCTTGACGTTCTGCTCTCCTTTCTCAGAGTGGCTTCTGGACAGTATTTAATGCCCAGGTGTCACCTGGGGATGACCAGCTGGTTGGTCCCCAGAGGCTTCAGAGGTGACACTGGGCTTCAGTGGGCTGTAGGAGCTCAGAGTCTGAAGGTCTGGACACTGGATTCGGTCAGCACGCAGCGCGGGGTGGCTTGACTTCAGGTTGCCCAGTGGCCACTGCAGTCGGTCTGTCCTCTCCCGCGGCTCCTCGGCGCTTCGCGTTGTCCACACGACGTGTTGGCTGGGCTCCACAGGCACAGGGCTCAGAAGCYTTGGGCTGGAGCGGCCCTCCGTCGCCTGGAAGGTGCCGTGTGGGCAGGCTGGTCGCTTTGGTCCCTGTGACTTGGGAGGCCRATCGCGGGTCCTTACGGAGACACAGAGCCCCACTTGGCTGAGCACCTCCAGGGCCATGGGGCACTGAGGAGCCCTGGCCTCTCCCCGGTGCTGGGGAAGCAGGACAGGCAGCCGCACGGTGAGGACCGGGTCAGGATCTGCCGGTCGACAGAGGGGCAGGCCCGTGAGGACCACCGTCCCCCACCCACACAGAGTCACCATGCACACTCCACGGGGCTCCTGCAGAGACATAGCAGCTGGCTCTTTCGGGTAGTTGTGGTTCGGGTCTGAAATGTCCTGCCCCTGCTGTGGGTTGAAGGCACGGCCCCTGCTCTGGGGCTGTTGGGGCCTGGTGGGAGGAAGTCGGGCCATGGGGAGTATTGGGCCCCAGCCCCTTCCCCCCCTCTGTGCTTCCTCTCTCCACCGTGTGTCCCCCACCATGATGTTCTGCCTCGTCCCAGGCACAAAGCCTGGAGACCAAGTGACCGTGGACAGAAACCTCTGAAACCAWGAAGCAGAACTAACCTTTTCTCCTTGTAAGTTCATCTCCTCAGGTGTTTTGTCACAGCAATGGAAACAGGGTCTGGCTGGCCTCATGTCCATGTCTCTGTCCTGGGTGGCAGTTCAGGGAGCTCCTGAAAGTTGGGGAGAACAGCTGTGCTACCCCAGAAGACATCATAACCCCACATACGGACCTTGCCCCAGGGCAGAGGGCATGGCTGTCTTTTCTCCCAAAGTTTCACGGTTGGGAAACTTGGTCCCCAGGGTGAGGATGGGGGAGCGCTGGGTCCTCCCAGAGGTGAGCCTAATAGGAAGGTCTCTCGTCGACTGACACCAGGCCCTCAGAAGGGACTGTGAGYCCCCAGTCTCCCTCTGGCTTCCCACTTGGCTCTGTGAGCTCCTTCTCCCACACTGTTCCCCGACACCCACCATGAGGTCATGCTGCCAAGGGCGTCCTCTCTAGAGCCTGCACCATGGTGTTTGWACTTCCARCCTCCAAAACTGAACTAAAGAGACCTGTTTTCTTTTTAAACTTCACCTGCCTCAGGTGTTTCATGATAGTAACYAAAGTGAASTAATACAGCAGGGGAATAAAATGACTCCCCAATTCAAAGCAGGTGCACGTCCCARTAGCAGAGGGATCCGTGAACTCCAGAGTGACTGTGTGAAGAACACGCCCTCCAAAGGCAAAGCAAGCACGTGGAGATACTACGGATAGTCTCAGGTTAATTWAGATACCATACGGGCATTGGGATGAGATTGATGTTTCCTACAGTATAAACACATTGAGAATGATTGTTAGGATTTTACTTATTTATTGTCTTGGTACCAGGGTTTGAGCCACTGAGCCACATCCCCAGCCCTTTTATGTCCTCATTCAGAGCATGCTAAGTTGTCCAGGGCCTCACTGAGGCTGGCTTTGAACTTGRGATCCTCCTGCCTCMGCTTCCCGAGCCTCTGGRRTCACAGGCGTGCACCACCGCGCCTGGCTGGGGTTCTATTCATCAAGTTCAGGGTGAACAAAAACTCCTACAGGTGAGTGCTTCGCTGTTTTGCTGAGGAGTGGAAATTGCTTTGGAGGTCAGTGGCCTGGTCAGTAGGCCCAGAAGAGAGGGGAGGAGGGCATCCGCCTTAGGAAATCGCGGGGATAGGTCGAAGGTGAAACCAAGAGTCTCAGTGTAACTGGAAGAACAGCCAGTTTGGGACTCACAATGCAGCTGTAAGGGGCATCACCTGCCGTGCCGGAGGCCGTGCACAGCCCAGGACAGAACCAGGCTCCTCACCCAGCCTCCTGACTCCAGACCTGGGGCAGGCTCTACTCACCCCGAGTCATGAATTCCAGGGCCCGCAGAACCTTCCAGAATCTGTGGGTGGGCTTCAGCGAGGTCCCGAGCGCCCGAGAGGTGCATGTCCATGTTCATAATTAGCGTGTTCTTCTCAGGGAAAACACCTTGTTCTTTCCAGGTTCTTACACGGTTTTATGACCTTTACAAACCACCCGAGAGCAAAGTGCTGCCCAGGAAATGGAGACTGCAAAGGCTGCTACCATGATTCCTGTTTTTACAATGTCCTCACCACTCCCACGGGATGTACCTCCGGAAAAGCACTTCCCTCTCACCCTCATGGCATATTAATTTTTGGGGGATGGCAACAGAGATGTGGGGGAGTAAAGGGGGCGGCCGTGTTTCCCTAGTTGTGTGCAAATCGGACCGTTTGCACTGGCTGCTAGAGAGCCCGCCGCCCTGATTAGAAATACCGCTGCTCACGCCGGGTTCCCTGGCTGCAGACACAGTGTACAGAGACCTCTGGGAGCTGATGGGAGGCTCCTGCAAAGTAGGGCATGGCCTCCTCCTGCTGTGACTCTCCGGGAGGTCCTGGGGGACTGTCCCCTGGAGCAATCCTGGACACAGGGCGCCCCCTGGTGGGCAGAGGCCTGCAACTGCACCACTGCGTGCCGAGCTTCGCACGGCAAGAAGCTCATGGGATAAACCTGGTGAAGGCAGAGATCTGAGGTCAGGCATGCTCTGAGGTCAGGCTGAACAGGGACCCTGTGTCACACAGAGACGGGGCGGCCCCCAGCTGCCAGAGCTCAGAAGGAAGCAACACGGGGGGCCTTAGGGAGTACTCCGGCTGCCTGTGCAGACAGGATGCTGTCTTTGGACTGTGACGTCTAGACGTGGCTTTGTGTCTCCAATGACCAGGTTGCAGGGATCCCAGTGGCAAGAGCAGTAAGGTCCCCGCTCACCCTGTGACCCACAGGGCGGGTTCATGCCTCCAGCCCGTGGCTCTGTAGGACTAGAGGTGCTGTCCCCAAAGGCCACATGGCCTGGATGCAGGAAGGAGTCCCACAGCCGCTGCCCGAGCGCTGCAGGGTCTTAGTGTGCAGCAGGCAGTCACTCTCTCGGCGACCTTCACGGCAGGAGGAAATAGGGGTGCGGAATCTCGGGGGTGGCAGGTCACTGCGGCCAGCATGACACAGGCCACAATCCTCCTTTCAAAGAGCATTTCACTGACTGGGCTCGGACCCCACAGGGACGAGGATCTGTGTCACTTCATCAGGAAACCAAGACCAGGATGGAGACGGTCCCTGTGGTCGTCAGCTTTTTAAAACCACTGTCCCCCAGAGACCCGACAAGAGCCATTTTATGGGGGCTCACGGTCAGGCGGGCAGTGATGTCAGTGCCGCAGCCCAGCCTGGGCAGCGCAGTAACAGGCGGTTCCTCCAGGGCTGCTTTGGCTGCAGACTGACCCTCTGCCCAAAGGCACGTCTTTCCCAGGCCGACCCCCATCCCCGAAGGCTGGGGGAGCGCCTGCGACCTGGTCATTCCACTCCAACCTGGGGCAGCTCTGGGGGCATGTCCCCCCGGCCCCGTGCCTGGCTCCGGGCTGCCGCACCTTCAGCTCCTCCAGCTCCTCCTCCTCCTCTTCCYGAGTGTGAATTCATAACAAATGCCTTCCCCAGCGACATGTCACCGTCTGCTTCCAGGGGACCCAATCCGCAGCACAGGAGGTCCCCAAGACAGCTCATGAAGAAGTAGCTCAGTGAGTTTCTAACTGTTTGTTAGGTTAGCTTTTTGCTTAAYACCCCTTTTGAGAACTTAACTTCGTGGGAATAGACTAGATCTGTCTAGACGAGATAAAGAATAGGGTAATGTTGGGGTTATCTTATCTATAGAACTTAAAAATATGGTTGTTTAATTGGTGACTTATAAATTGAAGTGTTATTTTAAAGCAAAAAAAAAACCCCACTATGATTCATTTTGCTCAGTTCTCTGAAGGAGGGATTCATTTGGCCATGGCACAATGCAGGGATGGGTCAGTCATGGTGCCTTGTTTTTTTTACGACTTTAATGGTTATTTTGGGGGTCTGTTATTTATTGTTGGCAAACAGTGGCCTTTTGTGGAAATTTTTGTTTGAAGGTTTTCTTAAGAAGAAACTCAAGATTTGTTTTTGCACATTGACTGTCCCCTGAATGCGTGCCACAGACKTAGTATGAATGGCCCACGAGACCTCTCACCTGTCCATCATCTAACTCATTAACTAAGTCGAACACACGGAAGCGGACGGCGGCCAGCCTTCCCTCGGACGTGCAGAGCCGAGCTCTTCCTGCAGGGGGCAGCGTCCTACAGCACAAAAGGCCGGTCCCTGCCTCTAATTATCCGCCCAGGAACAGATTATTATTGGGCTCCTTGATCTAATGTTGGGAAAAATCCTTTCCCACAACGTGATGATGAATCTGCTTGTTTGTGGCAGATTTTAGCAG